CTTGGCTCTTCACTGCTCCATCTCTGAACAAGCTTAGATAGGTTTCTTCTGGAAGGCCCGCGAGGAGAACAAGAAAGGGACCCTAGTGCCTCTGTGCGCTCAGAAGTGCTCTCACTGACTGCCCTTCCCTCTGTTCTTGCCCATGCAAGTTTGATCCATTGATCCAGCTTTCAAGTTCATGGCTTCTCTTCCCTGTCCTCCTGATCCATCTCAGTCCACCTGTCACATCCTGTATAGGGACAGCCATTTGGCACTTAGCCTTGACTGCGTTGCATTACAAGCTGCCTTGTTATAAATGCTCAATGTGTTTTGGGTTTTTTTTTAAAGATTTTATTTTTTTGACAGAGAGAGACACAGCAAGAGAGGGAACACAAGCAGGGGGAGTGGGAGAGGGAGAAGCAGGCTTCCCACGGAGCAGGGAGCCCGATGCGGGGCTCGATCCCAGGACCCTGGGATCATGACCCAAGCCAAAGGCAGACGCTTAACGACTGAGCCACCCAGGCGCACCTGTTCAATGTGTTTTCGCTGCAAAACCCAGGACTCTTGGTTACCAGCAGCAGGATCAGAGCCTGGGCAGTGCTGGGTATTCTGTCCCCTCACTAGGGTGGGGCGACCCTGGGCTGAGACTGAGTGGCGTTGTTTCACCCAGAACCAGAGCTGATGGTGAGCAGCCAGGAAGGCTCTGCAGATTGGCCACATGGTGCCCATCCTGGTGAGCTGAGGGACTGGGAGAGATTGGGTAGGCCCTGGAAGGGGGGCCCTCACATGAGGGCTCCCACCCCCTGCTTTGGTCAGACAGGGGCATCTGGAAGAGCCTAAATATCAGATGATAACAGCTCACTTCCAGGCACCCTTGCTGCTTTTCAGGCTTGTGTGACTCAGAGCAAGTGACTTCACCTGTCTTGGCCCCCAGTTTCCTCATCAGTGAAATGGGGATGATAATACTGCCTATCTCCTAGGCGGGTTGCTGTGAGGATTAACGAGACAGAACAGTCCATAGAAGCTTCCAGAGGTTTCTGGCACATAGCCTGCACTGTGTAAATGTTGGTTGTCCTCGTCGTCGTCGTCATCGTCATCATCTGTAAGTTTCCTGGACCACATTGCATCTCAATTCTTTGATAGCAGTGGGGATGTTTGGGGGTCATCTTTTTGTTTCCAGCTTGGCAGACTGGGTCACAAATGTGACTTGGTACCTCTGATCTGTACCACATTGGGGTCATGTAAGTTGTCTCTGTCAAAGGGGGTCATGGGCAGGGGTCTGCCCATGACAGGCCATGGCCAGCTCTTTGGGCTTTGTTTTCTTCCTGCTGGAGGCCTGGCCCTTGACCTTCTTTCACATCAACTGTGATCCTCTCTAATGTGTCCTGAGGTGGCCGGTTCTCCCCATCTCTCCTCTCCTTACCCAGCATCCACGAAGGGAGATAGTGGGCACTTTTGGTAATAAGTGAAGTCAGTGCTCTGGGAGAGGGGGAAACCGTCGTCGCCATCGGGGAGCTACCAAGTTCAAGGAAGTAGCCCAGGCGTATGGGCAGGTGGACAGGCAGACATCAGGACAGATGTAAGGTGTCTGAGAGATCTCCTTTGGTTGGTTACTTGTCTCTGCTTTCTTTTCCCTATGAGATCAGCTTGGTAGAGACTGTTTCCCTGCCAGCCCTCTGAGGAGAGGACTGGGCTTACGTTCTTTGTCATCCCTTCATGTGTTGATTGAAAATTATCCAGACTTTAAGATAGTTTTCCGGGGCGCCTGGGTGGCTCAGATGGTTAAGCGTCTGCCTTCAGCTCAGGTCATGATCCCAGGGTCCTGGGATCGAGCCCCACATCGGGCTCCTGGCTCAGCCGGGAGTCTGCCTCTCCCTCTCCCTCTGCCTCTCCCACTGCTCATGCTCTCTCTCTCTCTGTATCTCTGTGTCTCAAATGAAGAAATAAAATCTTTAAAAAAAAAAAAAAAAGATAGTTTTCCTGCCTGCCATCTTCTTTCAGATAAGAGATTGTTTATTGCTTGCTGACCTGTTACTGAAGGGAAATCCATGATTTCTGGGACCCAGATCCGAGCCTGTGTTGCTAGAGGGAGAACACGACACCCAGCTATGGGTTGTGAAGTATGTTTGCAGTTTCTGTGGCATGCCATCTTTTGCTTATTCCCGGGTATCTTGCAAATCCAGACTCTATTCTTTATCCTTACCACCGCCCAGGCTCCTGGACAGGCCACAGTGAGAATTCAGTATCAGCTCCTAGAGGGCAGGAGCCGTATCTGTCCCCTTTCTCTGTGCACTGTCTCTGTATTTCTATGGCCTGTGAGCCTCTCTCCTTCTTTGCACTGTCCACCCTTAATCTTCCTTCCTGAGCTCATCTTCCGCTGTCGGGCACGGGGTGTCTGATTGGGAGCAACGTGTGCATCAGTCAGCGCCTACTCCTTAGTGCGTCAAAACTGCAGTGTCCATCTCTCCAGAATATTCTGCACATCTTCTCCATAGCCAGCAATAAGCCAGGCTCGGGGATTTTTTTTTTTTTTTTTTGCTTGAGGCGGTGTCTATCTCCCTAGACATTAAAGACCAAGGAAAGAGGGGCGCCTGGGTGGCTCAGTCGTTGGGTGTCTGCCTTTGGCTCAGGTCATGATCCCAGGGTCTTGGGATCGAGCCCCGCATTGGGCTCCCTGCTCGGCGGGAAGCCTGCTTCTCCCTCTCCCACTCCCACTCCCCCTGCTTGTGTTCCCTCTCTCGCTGTGTCTGTCTCTGTCAAATAAATAAATAAAATCTTTAAAAAAAAAAAAAAGAATGCTGATTTTCATAATAATGATTGTGTTCATCTTGTCTGCCCAGTGTGAAACCCTGAGGACATTGGGCACAGGAGAGGTGAATCGTAAGCTGGGCAAGGACAGAGATCCGGGTAGGCCAGGCCGGGAGGAGAACCCTGGGTGGGTCCTGCAGGAAGGGTCTGGGGTGAATGGAAACTCTGGAAGCCTAGCTCATGATGATGGGGAGTTTACAGAAGGGGACGATGGGAGCGCGGGGCGGCCAGGCCGACTTGGGTCTTCCCATGAGTTGGTACGTTGCATTTTTACGGGGCTCTCAAACGATCCTTATCGGGATCTTAGCCCGGCACCCAGCTAGGTGTGGTGTGGATTATTTTGACAGGTGTAGAGATGTTGAAATAGGAACAGTGTGCTCAGGGTGACACGTCCGGCGTGTGACAGGGCCCTTCTCATTTGTGAAATCCGCCCCTCTCTGATGTACTGCGTGGCCACCTTTACCCATGAAGGGGCAGGAGGGGGGTCTCCCCCCATTCCCCCGAGCCTCCCACATTTCCCACTTCACCCGGGGGAGGGGTTGCCTGCTCGGGTGGAGAGGCGTGACTCACACATGAGCTTCGATTGCATCATGGCCCGACTGCCTGTGGGTGGAGAAGGTCGCCACTGCCAAGCAATCTGGTCTTCTCGCTGCTTCTTTCCCAGCCAGAAGCTGTTCAAACCAAAGGGCCAAAGACACCAGGCCTAGGGATGAGCGCCCGGAATAGGTGGGTGTGTGCGGCGCGTGTGCTCACGTGGATGGGTCGGTCATTGGTAGCATCTGACCCCCTACCAGGCTCTGGATGGTTGATGGGGCTCCGAGGGACCTTCTGGGGCGCCCCCCTCCCTCGGATCACCACGTGGTAAATGAGAGAATTCCTGCCGACTGGCCGGGAGCCCGTCAGTAACCATCCTAATCTCCCTGGCAGCCCCCAGAAGTGAATTTACGGCGACGTGGTAAAAATGAGGCTCCATGATCCATGGGTCCCTGGACAGCCTCCTCCGGGAGACACAAATGTATATTGTAACAAAACTTTATTTTCTTCCGAAAATTGCCTGCATGATCAATATGGCCCGACATAGCCCAAGCTGTTCCGCATAAAAAAACAAGCCGCTCTTCTGGCTCCTTCTTCAGCGCTGTCCCCCTCTCACTCCATTCCTTCATCTGGTTTCCTTTGTTTTCTCCTCTAACGTGCGTGCTATGTATTGTTCAGGTTCACTCAAGGAGGGGGAGAACGTATGGAAATGCCTTAGCTCGCCCTTCCGTTCTCCTTGGTTTCTGCTCGGTATTTCTAACGAGGCTCAGCGCAGCATGGACGCAAATTTGCTAGTGCTCTCGGGACAGAGTGCGGTGCTCCTTTGACTGAGCCATGCAGAGCATGTGCTCTTACATGACCGGGAGCTCTCCACCCCGGTGTCCAGCCTCCGTGAAAAGAGCTCTTCTCTTTCCCTCCATGTTTCAGGGCTGGGAGAGTTGCTACGAGGGAGGTCCTCGGAGACAGGCAGTCCCATCTCCTGCCCCCCCTCCGCCCACTGCAAGGAGATTCTAGGAAGAGTTGGGGTGCAAGAAGAATCGGGCTGTCTCAGGCAGCATGCTCCTATGCAGGCGGAAGACCCGCTTCCTTGATTATGATTATTTACATGTGCATTTTATGACCTAGAATGCAGGCTCCACCAGAGCAGGGTCTCCAGTAGATGTCTCCGTTTGGGTTCCCCAGAAGCAGACCCTGAGACAAAGATTTGAGTGCATCGGTTGATTGGGAAGGTGGAGAGAACACCGCTAGGGGCGTGGGGAAGTAGGACTTAGAAGGGAAGGCATCCCCCAAAGGGTGTGGGTGACGAAGCCTAATCCCACTGGGGGACTCTGGGGGCCGGTGTAAACCACCCCCTCAGAGTCACCTGCTCCAGGGGTGAGCGAGCTGGGGTATTGATGCATCAACTCCTGGCAGATGGTGGCAGGGGCATTGCTTAGATGTCAGCAAAGCAGGTTTCAGGCAATGAGATGTGGGCACCTGGAGTGGGAAGTCGGGCAGGTGGGCACCGAAGTGGGACCAGGTACATTTGGGAGAATCAGGGCTGGATCCCTTAACAATCTCCTTCTTAGGGTTTAGCCAAGAGGGGCCAAGAGGGAACCAGTGATTCACACCTTGGGAGGACATGTCCATGCATCCGTCCCCAGTGTCCGTGCCTTCCTCCTTCCTCTCTCTCCCTGCAGGTGCAAGGAGCTGAAGTACGCCAAGGAGCTGCCCCAGATCTCCATCATATTTATCTTTGTGAACGAGGCCCTGTCGGTGATCCTGCGGTCAGTCCACAGCGCTGTCAACCACACGCCAACACACCTGCTCAAGGAGATCATCCTGGTGGACGACAACAGTGACGAAGGTAAGGGGTGGCCCAGCTGTTCTGGAGAGGAACTTGGCACGTGCACAACGTCAGCAGGGGGGAAACACCGCTCGCGTTGTGACGTGAGCCCACGTGTCTTTGTCTCCTGTCCCTGGGGCATCCTGCAGGGTGCGGGGTGTTTTGAGGAAGACATCGGGGCGAACGCTGGTTCATTAGACCACAAGTCCTAGAGGGCCCTTAAGAATGACTGGCCGCACATCTAGACTCAGTTTCCCTCTCTGTATGACCTCAAGTCGATGACACTGAAATGCTGAATTCCTCCATGCTCCCCGCCACCAACCCCACTGCCGTCGTCCCACGATGGAACCGTATCTGAAGTTCCCTCTGGGCTCCTGTGCCCAAAATGACCATAGGTGGAAACGAGCAGTGTCCACAGGCCTTCCAGGGTTCAGCTCTGTTAGGAATGATGGCTCAATGAAAAAATCTCAAGCAAGCAAGTGTTGGGCAGCAATAACAAAAGTCCTCTGAGGTCCTTGGAGACAAGTCAGGGGGAGGGCTGGTGTCCAGGTGGGGGTGCTGGGGGGATTGGTCTTGCTAATTGTGCCTTGGTGTTGGCTCTTAGCCTCCAAAATTCACTGTGCTCACTGCAGGGAGAAAGCCCCACAGGCAGATGGCATGAAAGAAGGCCAGCCAGTGTGCGTGCTCTAGGCCAAGGAGGCTTATCTTCTGAGCCACGGAAGGATTAGGGACAGGTTAAGCCCCTTGCTGTCAGGGTGCTGAGTAGAGAAGGATTTACCCATGTGTGTTCCCGGGTCAGGAGAGGGTGAAGAAGCGGGAGGACCATGCCGCAGGTCCTGAGTGAACCCTGGTTGCCTTCGGGAGCTCTGGGCTGAGCCTGTCACGTGTCAGTGGCCCAGGTGCTGAAGTCCGCCTGGCCCTTCTGAGCTGGCTGGCCCTTACCCCAGGGCTCTGGGCCACCTGGGCCCAGCAAGACGCCAGTCAGGGTAGACCCCCTGCACTGGGGCCTCCAGATTCTTTTTTTTTTTTTTTTTAAAGATTTTATTTATTTATTTGAGAGAGAGAATGAGAGACAGAGAGCACGAGAGGGAAAAGGGTCAGAGGGAGAAGCAGACTCCCTGCCGAGCAGGAAGCCCGATGCGGGACTCGATCCCGGGACTCCAGGATCATGACCTGAGCCGAAGGCAGTTGCTTAACCAACTGAGCCACCCAGGCACCCGGGCCTCCAGATTCTGAGGGCGGATGGGTCATCTGTTGTATTTGTCACATCCTTATTTTTCTCTTTTTACCTTTGGCCATTTCATTATCTGTTGATCCTTCTCAAACTGACATTGATAGTCTCCTGGTGAGAACACGGCTCATTCCGTTCCCCGAAGCTGCGAGGTTGTCTGGTCAGGTCTGTCTCCTTGACGTGGCTCGCAGAGCCCCTCCCTGCAGCCTCCCTGTGTGCTCACCATGGAGCTCTTGCTTCAGCAAAGGGAATCCCTGATCCTGTGTCCTCCGTTTGCTGGCTAGAGTCCATGCACTTGTTCCCTAGGTGTCCCCTCTGTGTCACCTTTTCCCAGAATCCTTCACTGCCATCCTAAGGCCCTTGCTCTGTGCTCCCTCAGCTTCTGAAGCACGTAGCAGGTGATACCTCTGCTTCTGGCACAATTGACCTCTCCGCTCTGGGCAGGACTTGGTTTCCCAGGGCCTGGCTGGTAGCCGGGCCTCGCTGAGCCTCACCCAGCCTAGGAGTGAGTGATGAAGAAGAACAGGGCTGGCACGGGCCAGTGGGGGCCAGCGGCATGGCTGGAGGCTGGGCAGAGAAGAGCTAGCAAACCCAGAGATGAGAGCGGGGGATCTCTTCTGGACCGAACTGGGGTGAGGACTCACTGCCCGTGGGGCTCCCTCCCCTGAGGACATCTTGGCAGAGCTCAGTGACGGAGGAAGAAATGGAAGTCCAAGCCAGTCCCAACCAGAACACAAGCTGTGGGGGTCTCTGGTGGGTGTCTTAGTTTGGGCTCCCCCAGAAGCAGCCCCTAAGACGAAAGATTTGAGTGTGTTAGTTGATCTGCGAGGGGGAGAGAACACCTCTAGGAGCATAGGGAAAGTAGAGCCAGGAAGGGAAGGCATCCCCCAAAGGGCGTGGTGTGCAGATTGCCCCTGGGGCTGACAGAGCTTCACCCCACGGGGCGCATTCTGGGAATGGAGGGAGTGTAAAGCCCTCTCCTCCTCTGGGTCAGCCTGCTCCGGCGGAAGGGAACTGGGGTATTTACGCACCTTCAGTTTTCCCATCGGCACCTCCTGGAGCCCCCCTCCCCCCGAGGAAATTCTGTTTCAGGAGGTCTGGAGTAGGGCTGAGAATTTGCATTTCTCATAAATTCCCAGGTAGTGCTGATACTGTGGAGACAGCCCACTGAGAACCACTGAGTTAAGTGCTTATTTCCGTGGTTCACATTTCAGGTGGAAATGAAGCTGTTTAATGGGTAAGAAAAAGGGCGGGGCAGGTATTTGGTCCAGTCTGACCATAGAGTTAATTCCCATTCATCCTCTGTCCCTTCCCTCCCCCCGCCCCCCGCCAAAATACCCAGTGGACTATATTTACACAGTTTTCCTCTTTTCCTTCCTTGGATCTAGCCTGTGTATTTTCTCCAGGCCAGAAGTGCCTTGTCTTTAACTGGAAAAGAAACTTAAGATTTTTTTCTCTGTTGAGATTTTCTTTGTGACTAGTATTACCGAGTTTTGTAAATGTTCTATATACACTTGAAAAGACTCCCACGCACTATAATCATGGAACTGAATTCCTGCCAGACATCCATTTTGTGTATTTAGATGACTCTGAGTTTATTTTCTTACATCTTTTTGATGATGGTGTTTTAAAATCTCCTCTGACAATGACTATTCCTTCCCGCATTCCTAATAACGTTGGATTTCTGTATTTTGTTGTCAGTTTCTTTGGCAACTATAGATTTGTATCTGCGTGGCTTCATTATTAATGGTGGTTGTCACTATTATGTAATGCTCCCTTTATCTTAAAAGCATATTTTTTTTCTTGCTTTGAATTTTGTTCATCTAACTTTAATATTGTTATCCCTGCTTACTTTCTGTTTGAGTGTGATTAAACCATTTTTTTCCAGCCTTAACTATATTTTCTGATCTCAAAAGTAATGCATGCTTTTTGTAGGAAAATTGAATATATCAAAAAGGACTTATAATGGAAAATACAAACACTGCACAGACTAACTGAAGGCAAATGCTCATTCCCCCACGTTCTCCCCTTCTTTTTTAATGCAGAGGTTACATAGTTAAAATCCTGTAGTAAACACAAGTTAATGTTCTTCTTGTTTTCTTCCCTGAACTGTGAAACATAACATTCATCTTTATATTAAGAAACATCTGGGGCACCCAGGTGGCTCAGTCAGTTGAGCATCTGGCTCTTGGTTTTGGCTCAGGTCATGATCTCATGGGTTGTGGAATTAAGCCCTGTGTCTGGCTCTGTGCTTAAAGGGGAACCTGCTTGAAAAATTCTCTCCATCTGCCCCTCCCCCTCCTGTCGCTCTCTAAAATAAATGAATGAACCTAAATAAATAAATAAGATCTGCAAACATCGTTTTCATGAGGGTAGAGTGGTCCATTCTCAGGCTGATCTAGACTGGCTCAGGTGATAACTGTAATTCCTCACTTCTATGTTATCACACATATTAAAGAAAAATGAGATTTTTTCAGGAAAAGAAAAAGAAAGAAAAAAAGAGAAAGAAAAGAAAGGAAGGAAGGAAAAAAAAAAAAAACCTTGGGCTCAGGGAATGTGTGAATAAATGTGAATAAAATCCAGATGACTCTGGATCTGTGTGCATAGGCAAATCAGCATCTTTCCCTTGTTAGTTTTTTTTTTTTTTTTTTAATGATTTCTTTCATTCAGCTTCAATGTTGACTTTGGCGTAAGTTAAGCCCAAGTAAGATACAATGCTCTGTGCTCATGTACATTAAACTGAAATCACTCAGGCAAACTTTGCCAGTGATCACTGCTCACCCGATCCAGTGGGCACTTCCCTGCTCCACTCTGGCCACATCTGACATTGTTGGTGGCTTCCTTCCTGGCACTTTTCTCCTCCTGAGGCCCCAGCACCACTGTCTTCTCCACCTGGACTCCTTGCTTCCAGTGGAATCACTCATGCTTCTCATCATCAGGACACAGTGGGCACTTTCTCCCGTGTGCACATTCTGAATTATCTCCAAATCCATCCTTCTGGTGCAAGGTAACTCAACCTCTCCCTTGAGCCCCAAACCTGTGTCTTCTGTGTCCTCAGTGGCCCAGGGTCCCTCTGAACCATAAACTTAGTCTGTCCAATGACTAGCTTATCATTCTCCTCTCGGCCTTGGACACCTGCTTCTCGTTCTTTATCTCCTGTGTCAGTGAAGGGCTTTACCTCTTCTCTGTGTTCTCATCACCAAAGACTGGAAGGCTTTTCATTTTCTCTCTGTTCCATTTCTCAGCATCCACTTCGTTCCTCTTGAGCGTGATCCTGTCTGGCCATATCCTGAGTCTCCGGTCTTTGTTTAGGTACTTGGTGTTCTTTGCCTTGATCTTTATTTGAGGGTTCGAGGGGGAGGGGATTCGGGTCCATGGAATTATATCGATCATAATTCTCAACATACCCCATCGTGGTCATCCTTTATCATTTCCCCTTACTTTTAATGGAGATCTAATTTGCATAACGTAGAATACATCATTATGAAGTGTATACCGTTCAGTGGTTTTCATTATATCCATGGTGTTTTGCAATTATAACCACTAATTCCAGAATATTTTCATTCCCCCCAAAGAGATCCTGAACCTGTTAGCCATCTCTCCCAGTTCCTTGGGCAACCAGCAAGATACTTTCCGTCTCTATGAATTTGCCTTTTCTGGACATTTAAGATCAATGAAATCTACAGTATGTGGCCTTTTGTGTCTGGCTTCTTTCACTTAACATAATGTTTTCCAGTTCATCCATGTTGTAGCATAGATCATTACTTCATTCCTTTTAGTGGCTCAGTAA